GTGACGTGGGAGAGGAAAAAGAGGGTCCAGCCCCCTTGGTGTGGGTGCAGATCAGCCGCAGGAGGGGGTGCCGGGAGCCTGACACTCCTACTTTTGAGGCACCAATAGTTATGGCATTAAGACGGCATCCTGGCTGTGGCTGGGGGCGCAGCTCGGTACCTTGTAAGGCATGGACTCAAAGAAGACAGAGGTGGCAGAGATCTTCTTCTTGTCCGTCATGAACCCATGGGTGAGGTGGCCCCCGTCTGGCAGGTCCAGCCCCATGATCCTGCCGTGGGGCTCCACCAGTGCCGTGTACACCGCAAAGTTTGCGGGTGACCCTGCAGCAAGAGAACGCCGGGCCGGTTATGGGTGCCGGGGTGTGCGGAGGCCGACGCAGCCGCCCTGGCTTTCCTGAGCTCCCCGTTACCTGAGTAGGGCTGGACGTTGACGCCCCACTTCTGGGGGTCGAGCCGGTACGCCTCCAGGGCTCGCTTCTGGCACAGCCTTTCCAGCTCATCTACAAACTCCGTCCCGCCATAGTACCTGCCGGGAAAGGCAGGGGCTAAACCAAACCCTGTGACCAAGCTGCAGAGAACTGGGGTGATGCCCCGTTGGCGGGAGCCACCGGGACAGCAGCCGCAGCAGAAGTGACCAATTGAGGTTGTCCCATGTGTGGCCAAGGTCAGAAGCCAAGAGGGACAGATCCTGCCCTAAAGGAGCGTGGCTGCCAGTGCAAGGACACTGCTGCTGCTCCAGAGGTGAGGTCTGGTGGGTGGCTCCTCTCCCTCCCTGTGAGGGTTTGGGGTGGGGGGGACGCTGCCCCAGCCTTGTACCTCTGTCCCGGGTAGCCCTCGGAGTATTTGTTGTTCATGCAGGATCCCAGGGCCTCCAGGACTGCTCGGCTCGCAAAGTTCTCTGATGCAATTAACTCCAGGCCCAGTCTCTGCCGCTGCTTCTCCTTCTTGATGATGCTGTGCACCTTTGGGAGGGGAGAGAAACAGCTTCATCCATGCCAGCTCTGCACGGAGACGTGGATGCTCGACCATAGGAGACGCACCCTTGGAGGGGACAGGGCATGGAGAGTGGCCTGGAAAGGTACTGGAGAAGGGAAACAAGATCCCTTCTCAATACAGCTCATGCCAAACAGTTAATACATCCAGCCACAGGCCATGTTTTAGGTTTCTACCTGTCAGGAAGCTGCCAGATAATTCAGCTGTCATTTGGGCTGGAGAGTCAATGGCAACTGCCGCGTGGCCTGGTGTGGGCATTAGAGCTTCAAGCAGAGGGGTATGAGCAATAGACGCAAAGTTATCACCATGTTATGGGCCCATGGTTGGAGGATTCCCTCCCTCTCCACCTCTTGCTGTAGGTAGAGAAGGCACAAAGGACGGATGGGTCCCACCAGCTCAGCCTTGGGCCATCTCCCTGCCACGGCCCTGGCTTGAGGAGGTCAGCATCCCCATGGCTGCCCGAGGGATGAAGGAAGTGGCTGCCAGGAAGGGAGTCTCACCTCTGGGTCGTTCCTCTCCAGCGGCTCCATTACCATCCTGTTATGGGAGGCCCAGAGCGCCGCGCTGGGGAGGGCCCCATCGCCCTGCATTGAGTTTGCCATCCTCCTGCTGGGTCCAAAGTCACCTGCCAGCGGAGAGGGGAGTTTGTGGGATGGCAGCGGAGCTGGGTGCCTCTGCGCTGCGTCCCTGCGTGCCACCTGCTCCCATCTTACGCCTTCATGGACACAAGGGTGTCTTATTAAATCTGCTGTTTAATTTCAAGGGCAATGAAGTGCTCATACCCACAGACCTCGGTTTTAATTGCATTCCCCAGCTGGTTTAAACCTCTCATCTGCTTTCCCTTGCACACGGCTATGAGGTCAAACCCCCAGCGGGTCAGAGTCCTGCCCCAGACACTGAAGCAAGCACGGCTCATGGAGCTGAGCCCCGGCTCTGTCCAGCTAGACGTTGTGGCATACAAGATGCCCAGGCCTGGCAGCAGCCCTCCAGACCCCTCGGTGGCTCTGCAGCTAGCATTACAATGCAGAGCACAAGCTCCCAGGCACACACGACAGCCAGCTTCTGCCTCGGCTGAAAACAACCCATCTTTTTAGCCATTAACTCTGCAAGGCCAGCGAAGGGCCGTGAACAGGTTATTAAGCAATCGCACTTAGTTTGCTCATGCCAAGCTGCTGAAGTTCGTTCACCGTGGCGCTGCTGTGCACTGCTCTGGCTGGGCTGGGCTGCTCAGCCGAATCCCTGCTGTCAGAAAAGCTGGATTGGGATGGGGAAAAAGCTGCGAGGGAAAGGGCAGGGTGCAGCGCTCTGGCTTGAAGCAGTACAGCCAGGACCCCCCAGCATGTCCCCCTAGCACAGATCACAGCAGTACCACACCCAGCACTTTCACAGACCCACTCGGGGGGCAGTGCACCCCCTTTCCCATCCAAGACGACTCCGCATTTCCACCCTTGAGGCGGGACACTGGTAGAACCCTGGCAGTTCACCTTCTGCAGGGATGAACCCCAGCCCTCAGGCTCCATCCCCACCTGCCTTGCACGCCCCGTATCCCGGATCCATCGCCTCCCGCATCCCGGAGAGAGTCCTGCTGACGCGCTCCCCCTGCTCTGACACCAGTGATGGGGGACAACGCTGCCTGCTCGGCTCCCACCCCACACCGGCGTGGCG